CAGATGGCTCTCAGCCTCCTCTGGAATTAGAATGCTCGCAATATCCTGAAATTAAATGCTCAAGTAAGAAAACGACTAAAAACCACAACTGTTTTTCAACTTCCCTAACACTATTTTTTCAGACTACACTATTACTACTCTTTTGGAACTGACCTGCGTCCTTCCGATCCTTGTCAAACCTTGTCTGATTCCATACTTCTTTTTCGGAATGAAACATCGTCGGCACATCCTTGGACAGGATTGTTTCACATTTCCTTCCACCCTGACTTCACTATACCATCCGCCTGAACGAAGCTTGGGAATACATTCGAACGGCAACATCTGTTATAACAAATACAAAACATTAATAAAGTATTTCTTGACAACTCTTTATTTTGTTTAGTAAACCCTAAACCCTTACCGTGAGGGGAATTATAAACCCTGGTAAGTTCCACTGATTAGCCGGCTTCCGATGTTTATTCAGATAGTTCACCACAAACTCATGAACATTGTTGAACGTGAACGTCCCCCAAGGGAATTTTTCGCATGCATCCACATTGTTGACAATCTTCAACAGAAATGGATTCACGTATTCCGAATGTTGGTGCCCAATGACATAACTGAGCAGCAACAAATAAGCCATCTTCAATCGGTCATCTCTGTCATCTACAGCCAATTCTCCAAACTTCTTCATTACTTCTGCTTTCATAACCTTTTCAAAACTCTCTTGACCAAAGAATTTACGGTAGAATTCGAACCCTCCAATTTCCTCCCAATTCTCAGGCAACGGAGAACAATTTAAACCACAGAGAATAGCGTGTTCCCACAGCGAATACCTAATTGGGACTCCGTTCATCACGAACCATAACTCGTCATCTTTCTTGGTCTTGACTGATCGGTTGATGAGTGCAACCATTAAACTCATCTTCAGTGACTGTTTCTTCTTCATATGAAATATGTGTCTGAATTGCGATTATTCGGTGAAATACTTTTTTTCCTCCTCCGTGATGTGGTTCTCGAGAAATTCCACAGCTTCTATGTGGAAACACTTTGACGATAACTTCACCGAAATCTTGTTCATGTCGTCCAATTCATAGTAGAATTCGGCTTTGGGTATATCCCAAATCTGCAACAAAACAACGAGATTCATCAAACATACATCACAACACATGACATTCTCAGAAACGGGTTTCAAATTCCACTACTTCACTATCATTTCTTAATTGCTACTTCGTATAAAACACTTAAAATTTAAAAGTTACATGAGCACGATTTCACCAAATCTGTTCAACTCTTCGCATTATCCGACATCACACTCCCCTTTAACCCAGACTTTAAAAACCCAGATTTAAATCTAATTCCAACATGAAAACCCTAAACCCAGATTTCTACTTACATGTGTTTTCGGAGAAGCATTTCCCTCCATTGTTCTTTCTGGCTCCGGCTCTGTCTCCGTGTCCGTATTCTCCGCCTCAGCCTCCGTCTGCGTTCTCTCGCCGGCAAACCTCGACACCACTCTGGTTCCAGCACCGACTCGACCTCGACCTCGACCGCGATCTCCTTCCCTCGACGACGATGGCTTCATTTTGTTCGTCTGGCTCTCGATTTTTCTGAGTTTCATCGCTTTCTTCCTGCTTTCGCTGGCACTCCGCTGATTTCGCTTCGATTTCGACTCTCGATTCGTTTCCTTCTGTCGATTTCGCATGAGTCACTTTCCCTCCCTCGCTTTCTCTTCTCTTTGCCGTTTTCGATTTTGAAAGGGTAAAAAACCCTAACTTTCTTTTTTACGATTTTAACTAAACATTTTCACTAGTTTTTCATTTAATTCGAATTAAAAAAATTTCGCACGTGTTAAACCCTCACACGCGGGTTTCAGTAAGGGTTTGTAGGTCTTTTCTATTTTTTACAGGGGTAAACTCGATATTTGATAATTCTGTCTATTTTTTAGGTGTACTCAGAAATTGTTGCGACTCAACTCGGCTATTTGAGTAAAATTCCCCTCCGTTTATCACCCTCCCGACCATAATATGATGATTTTTTTTTTAAAATTTTTTCTTACAACCGCATTATGAAACTCCTAAGACAAGAATTCAACCAGATTTTTCTTATTTTATTAAATTCTTATTCCTTCTATGGCGTTTTTGGGGTTCCACTCTACGTTAAGGCCAGATCAGCCTAGCGTTTCTATGGAGCCTGCAGTTGCAACAATGAGTTCCCGCAAATCTTCGCCGGAATCTGCTGGGCATTTCTGCCGGTGGCCAACAACACCGAGGATTTAGAAATATCCCCATCCCGGGAGCTGGAGAGGCATCGGCGGAGAACGGCGATTCCGGAGATCGATTGCTGCTCGACGGCGGAGATTCATGCTTATGCGATATCGGATGGGACAAAATTGCTCGGATCTTGCCACCGAAGACGCGATTGTACTCCTCGATTATGTTAGCCAAATCATCGTCGGACTTGATGGAGATCAGCGTCTCGAGATCTCCGTTTGGTAATTGGCACTTCAGGTCAACGGAATATCCGCAGAATTCTCCCAGTTTCACCATCAGCTCTGCAAATTGAAGAACAAAAAAGTGAACCTCTGACAGAAATCAAACATGAAATGACAGGGAATCACAAGAAGACGCAGTCAAGAGCTCCAGTCGAAGAGTTCCAATAAGAGCGGCCGGGAATGCGATGAAATCTGACGCAGATGGACGGAAATTTGACCGGAGAAGAGAACGAACCTGGGAAGGAGATGGATCGGTCGACAGAGATGACTCTGGTGAGACCGCCGACGTAACGGAGCCTACCGTCGATAGAACGAGGGAGGATTTTTCCGCCGTAACTGCAGAGAAACTTGATAGTGGCGCCGGAGTTCGTAGCATTTTCAGCCGCCATTTTAGGGTTTCCGAAGCTTCTAGTTCAAAATTTTGAACTATTTGGAAAATAACCGAGACGAGATGGAGCGGTGCCAATATTTATAAGCGATAAGTGACGTCATCGTGGGACCTACATGATGGGAACAAAATAAACGGGGGTAGTTTTGTCAATTCAGTTATATCAACTCCGAATATTCGTCTTTCGTTGCGTTATGCAAAGAAATCGCGTTGGGGGAGGTGGGTGCTTTTTAAGTAATTTATATAAAAGCGTTTCGGTAATACTAATAATAATAATTTAGATTCGAAAACATATCTTCCACGTGAACGAATGTATCATTACATTTAATTAATTGTTCAAAGAAACTATATTCAACTTGTCGCTTGAAAACATTGAAAGTCAACTGAGCCAACACGTTATAATCAATGGAATAATAAAGAAAAACATAATTAATTAGCATTTAATTACGCGTGACAAATAGCTGAGGCAACATGTTACAATTAACCGAATTATAAAGTTTTTCGCATATGAGTTTGTATATATCTTCTTGTTCACCTTAGAGTGCAAAAGACACTCCAAAACGCACGTGACGCTTTACCGAATAAAACGCTGTTTTGCTGCGTTTTTTAACGCAAAAGCTGCCTGCTTTTGAAACATCACCAACAAAAATTTAGAGCTGTACACTATTTTGATCCAAAAAAAACTTAATAAGATCGGACCTAATCTAATAATATTTGACTTTAATTTTATACAATTTTTAATAAAACGAATAATTTAGTCTCGAATCTAATAAGTACCAAACCAAATTCGATAAATATCAACTCAAAATTCTAATTATTCACCCTTATATATAAAATGTAGACGTATACCAAATTTCGGTTCGTTCTTGACATTTAGATAACAAAATTGTTCTAAAGTAAACCAACACTAAGGTCCGACTAACATTACATTTTAGTTTTGTGCAATTTTTATAAAATTTAATAAACTTTTTCTGAAACGACCTCGATAAATGATACCTGAAACTAAGGGTGGGTCTTTCGCTTCGGTTTTTCGAAACCAAACCGTACCGAAAAAATACGGTATTTTTTTATATTAATCGTTTAAATTTTCGAACGGTATTAATTTTAGAAAAAACGAATTTCTCGAAACTAACCAAAATGAACCATACTTTAAAAAGCCAGAAAAATCGATTTTTTGTAAAGAAAATCTAATTGTTTTAATAAAAATCAAAAGCGAACCGAATCAAATCAAATATAGTATGATAACCGGCCGATATCCGAACCCAGATCGAATATCGAAATGACTATGTCCACCTGAAACAAGAATCCTTCACAATTATAAATCAATTTTAGAATTTTTAAAAAACGCACAAAACTTTTCTAGACCTAATCAAATTCTGATTTTACTTGAATCCTCATGAGGTTGAAGAAGAACATCTTTAGGAAGTTAGCTTGAAGCAAGTTCCTCCATGAACATGCGACAGCTTAACAGTGAGGAACGGTGTTGATATCTCTTAGTTTTAGGTATTCCATGGCCGAGGACGAACTAGAGGTGAAGCACCTGTCTTAAAACCGAACCTTTGTATTGACTCGCATACACACTTGACCCCACAATGTCTATAATGTAAACTAGTTGGGGGAGAAAGGATTTTTTGATGTTTTTAAACCCTACAGTTTGATAACTAGAAACGCTAAATGACGAGCAGAGGGTGAATTGGTAAACACAACCAAATATAGGAAGATGCAAATAGGGTTCTTTTGGTGGTTTGTCTTGTGAGTAATCCATGTCTCATGAAACCCAAGGTAAAAAAGTTAGAAACTTTGGTTGACTATTAATCAGAATCTTTAATCTCTACATATACTTTGTGAAGATGGTACGAATGAAATAATTATCATTCCAAATTAGGGTGGGTTCGGACGGATATCCGGGAGTTTTATGGTATCTGATTTCGGTTTCGGATCGCAGATTCTTTGGAAAGATTATCTCGATCTTGCGAAAGTCGGATATCCGACGGTCTAGATATCCATGTTTGAACTCGGATATCTGGATCTGTGAATTTTTGTTGTTCAAACATAAATATTAATTTTAAACACATAAAATTTCCACAAAATAACAAAATCCAAACATTTAAATGCATAAAAAGTTGTTCAAATTATGCAATAGAAATAGAAATTCAATACAAACATTAAAATGCATACAAAATTGTAAAAATATATAATAAAACTAGTTAGATATTTTATAAATACTTATAAATACAGGGATATTTTTATTTTTTTTTTATTGTACCTAGATATCCAGGAATATCGGTCTCGCTAATTCCGAAACCCGAACTCGAACTTGCAGATCAGATTTTTCATCTCATTTATCTCGTATTCGATTTCGTTTATAACCAGATATCCGAATTCCGGATATCCGTGAGTCGGATATCCGCGAACCCGAGTTTCGGGTAAAAACGAACAGCCCTAATTCCAATGACTTGTAATCCTAAACAAAACTTGCCTTTTCCTTCTGTAATCAAAACGCAAGTGATAAGAAATTTACTCACTACGGAAATTATCTTCCTCGGTGGAGAGAGATGGGCGAGAGGCTGATTGCTCTTTCTATTCCCCAAATAATCCCAAAGCCACTTCACATTCATCGCCATTTCCATGGTTTCTCCACTTCCACTCTCTGTCTCCGACCAAACCCGACCCGGTTCTACCGGGTAATATCCCAACCCTCACGCCGACGAACCCATCACCTTCAATGTCGCAGCCATAGCGGGGGCAACACAAAAACTCACGATGACGACGGAATCCCCGCCGACGAAGTGAAGATCATCGCCAAGTTCAAGTCTCGACACAACTACATCAGGGTTCTCGAAGTTTCCAGAAGAACCCTTCACCCGCTCGCCGGCTCTCGCCTTCTCCTCCTCGACGATCCCGGTAACATCCACAGCATTTCTTTCCTCTTCAAAACCCTAACCGAGAGTTACTTCGACGTTTTCGCAACCTTGCCTCCGGTTATACCTCCTGGACCCGTCGGCATTCTCGGGTTTGGGGCGGGTTCTGCGGCTCGTTTGATTCTGGAACTCCACCCGGAAGCCATTGTCCATGGATGGGAACTTGACCCTTGTGTAATTGACGTTGCTAGGAAGTTTTTTGGCTTGTCTAAGCTCGAAAAGCAGTACAAAGATAGGCTTTTTATCAACATTGGTAATGCCCTGGATGCTAGTGTGAGAACGGGGTTTTCGGGTATTCTTGTGGATTTGTTTAGCAAAGGCAGCGTGATTCCTGAGCTCCAGGATCCGAATGTGTGGGAGAATCTGAGAAGTAAATTGAGGAAGAACGGGAGAATCATGGTGAATGTTGGGGGAAGGTGTGTGGAGGCTGAGGATTCACAGAGAGATGGGGATATGGTTATGGAGGAAACTCTGAAGGCGATGAGTTTGGTTTTTGGAGATGAGCTCTTTGTTCTGACTCTTGGGAGTGGAAACGATAGTTCTCTTGCTCTTACGGGCGATTTGCAGGACCTCGATGCGTGGAAGAAGAAACTGCGGATGCCCGAGTTGAGGGGTTATGTTGATATGTGGAAACCATACAGAGATTCAACGTGAGCAAATGCCATGGTAATCGATTCATATCCGAGTGATTGTCTGTGCAGTTGAGTACGGGAAGATGAAGGCTTCTTAAACCCTTGATGTTGCTCTTTTTATTTAGCTTGTCTGTGGCTAATGTTTGCAGAGTCAAATTTGTTCTATCTCCGAGCTCAGTTCTCCCCGTGCCATAGCAATGAAGGCGATAAGCTTGCATCTGCGCTTAAAAATGTCGTCCTGATTTAAAATTCTGGGACATAATGAATGAGCTATAACACAAAACGAGGGCTTACAATTTCTTCTGATGTTCATAGGAAAGGGACTTATATGGGACACAGTAAGAAGAAATTTGATCGTCCTCCCTCTTTGACTGTTGAGAAGAAACTTGAAAAGCCATTTCTTTCTTTCTTTTTTTTTTTTTTCTATTTGTTTCTTTGATGTGGCTGTGTTGTCTTCCCGAGATTTCTTGTAGAGGAGAGAAAACAACACTTGTTTTCGGCACGCTTATGCATTGGCTTCTCCTCCTTCAGGTGTTGACTCTTGCTCTGTCACCGACCGCTTATGTTTACCGTCATACTTTTATGTCCTTGAAGGAAAAAAAAACACGGGTATGAATTGATTTACCGTCATACTTTTATGTCCTTTTAGTACCCTTTCAATGAAAGGCAAGTTTTTTACCCTGAAACTTTATGGATTCGGGGATTCAAAGATGGGATCAATGAAAGGCAAACTTTCATATTCAAAGTATGTTGATGTATGGAATCCATGTGATTAAGAACGATAACATGTGCCACTTATATTTGCGGTCTGTGTGTGTTAAGGGAATATTTGTAGTTAGCTAATTAATTAAACGGCAATGGAGGATGATGAGAGAGGGGGACAACAGTACAATAATTACAAACAATAATATAATTTTAAAAACGATATATAAATAGCCCACACACGTATACGTGTATATGTATACTGGCTCGGCTCGTTATGGAATCTCAACTATTTCAATTTTCAGCCATCACATATGGCAGCCAAACATAGACCCAAATGAACATCAAAATATTAAGACAAGGCATAAGCTGTAATCATATCGTTTGGGGAGTTCAATGAAGGCGGCGTGGTTACAAGATTAAGATGCATCATATGAAAATCCCAACAACGCATAGTGTTGTCAAGTCTTCCGTGTCAGAAGTGAAGGCATTAGTTTTCCATATGGTTTTCTTTTAACTTCATTCCTTAGCCTGTAATTACCATTAGTGCCGATTCATTTCACGAAGAACCTGAGATTCCTTGCTCTGTGGTGAAGACATGCTTGTGTAAATGGAGAATGATGACAATGGCGCAGAGATAGATATCACCGAAGATTCTTGATGCAAATCTTCTGAATGAGTCGGCAACCCTGAGAAGTCACGTAGAACTTTGGTGTTTATAAACTTTTCTCATAAACAAAAGCAGCAAGTCTTTGGCCATCAACTTATGTTAAGCTTCAAAATCTGGAAACTTGAAACAACATTCCTTTTACCACACGCACTTGCATGTGCTTCAATCAAAGGTAAATCTTGCAAATTGCAATATCTCCAAGCTACAAACAAGATGCAAAGATTTCTTTCATGTTATTAACTCAATTTGCTATGTACTATTGTGATTCTCTAGCATCAAATGTTTTCTACAGGGTTGTCAACAACCCTTATGTTGGTTACCGTTTAGAGTGGAAATATAAGAATCAAACTGTTTTCCCTTACCTGATAATGTAGCTTTCAGAAACTTCTCCCTCATCAAGAGAACAAATCTGAAAAGATCGTTGGTGTCATTCAGTTCCTGAACCAGCTCTTTGATGTCATTCAATTGAGGGTTGCAATCCAATACTGAAGGACATATAACATAACGTTTGAAAACAGATGTTATAAGAATCTTGAACAACATTAAAACGTGGACCCGAAATTTCAGAAGATTACTCACATGTGTATATGTCATTTCCATAGTGAATCGTGAACGAGTATTCACGATTTGGATTGTTTGCATCAATGTTGATGAATTTGAATGTAACTCCTGTAAGAGGCCCAAACAACAAGATCAACGGTCAAACTTGAATAAAAAGAACTAGACTTGTTACCATCTCAAATGTCTTTCATTACCATATCCTGCTTCAACATGAAAACCAAGAACCCGATTGTACCACGAGATGGCTTCTTGGATATCACCTTTATCTTCAACGTTTTTACCGTGATTGTCCTTAGACGTTCCCAAGGCTTTGAATGTCCCGTCAGATGAATAAACAAATAAGTTAACAAAGAAAGGACGAGAAACCAAAAAATCAACGTATACATCCATCATGTATCACATCCAAAGGCGAAAACGCAAAGGAAAAATTACTGTCTTCTCCACACTTGTCACCAGTGGTACTGCAGGAAATGAAATGAACAACTTCTAAGTTTGTATGAGTTCAAGCGAAATTCTAGGCCCAAGGAAAAGGTCACCAAACTCACAAAGTTCCATAATGTCTAACTGTCATAAGATATTCCGAATACCTGATGTAAAACACAGACTTATATTTAATTTGCACTCATAAAATTCAAACAAGCAACAAATACCTTGCAATTGTTTGGAGATAATGGCCAGAAACTCATCCTTCCTAGACCTCTGTGATTGCAAAGTTCTTCCAAGCACTTCGATTCTAGATTTTGCAGCAGATATGGAATCCCTTATCCCCATTTGCCTTGCCTCTTTACGTGTCTTCACTACACATCACACAAGTATAAAAAGGAAGCTTTCGAAAGGTGTACATGATGCTGCGCCAACAATGTCAAAATTGGATGCAATCCTATATATTTGCCACATTAGAAGAAAGATGCAAAGAACCATGAATGCTATACAGATTCCCTCAGAATGTTGGGTTTAAACACCAAATTATCTGGCTCTACAAAGATCAGTCACCTATCAGGATTCTCGAATCAGACATAAAACAGCTACTTCCGGACATAGTAAGGCTCAGAAACCAGAAGAATTCCTGGCATTGGAAAAATCTACGACTTGAAAGCATTTCTAAGCTTCAAATCTAAAGCCGAAGGAGTGAAGCTGATACCTGCCAAAACTCTAACGAGTTCGCCTTCTGCTTCTCTCAATTCTGCTTTCATCTTTGCAAGTTTCACTACAAACCAAATCCAAAACCACAATCTCAGTGACAACTTCTCATATCACCTGCTTAATAGCACAATCTCAGCGACGAACTCTCAATTCATTCACTGCCAGAACCCTAATCTCAGAGAAGCAAAACCGAAAACAACAACAAACTCCAAAATGAAAATATCGAAAATCAGTTCAGGGTTCAAGTAAAACGAAAGAGGAAGAAGTAATTGGAGATTTAGCAGACCTTGGCTCCGAGCGGTGGCTTGTGCTCGTTCCACTAACGAATCCAAGGATCTCCTGAACGGAAACGCCGTGAAGGATTCGGCTCTCTGACGCTGTGCATCGATCTCTTTCTCGACCGTCAGTCTCAGAGAAGCCATCGTCTTCTTCGTTGTATCTCCTGCACTAATCTGCTCCATTTCATGATTCATACGAGAGAGATTTTCAATTAAGAAATCGAACTTCTAAGCCCGCCACAAAGCTTTACAAAACCGGGCGTGTTCGACCGGTCGAACCGGGATCCCCTTCTTCGTCCGGTTTGGTTAGGGTGGTTAATCTATATCTGAACCAGAAATAGTTTGCGTACTCTCCTTTTTTTTTTCCGCACAGAAATATTCGTAAGGTCCGTCCGTGCACATGGGGGCAAGCGGCCTCCAGTTCTCCTCCGTAATCTAGACTTTGTTAACGCCCTTCGGATATTTTTCCGGCGATGTCGATTCGTATTCGGTCTACCCTCGTCTCCGCCGTTAATTTCAACGACTCCACGAATCTTTGCCGGAATCGATCTCGGAACTGCAGATTCTCCATCCGGAGTTGTTTGTCCGATTCTGACCACCGCAAGGTTCTTCTTCGCATCCCCGCCCGTTCCCCGCCCCCCCCCCCTTTTTCTTCGTTGCTAACTTGCTACAAGTTATTCCCATGGATATTCGCATCCGTAAACACATATTACATTTACAGGCTGGTATGGTTGTGTGTTCTTGTGCTTGTGCTTGTTAGTGTTTCTGGTAATGTCCGAATAAAGTCTACTGTGCGATACTTGGATCGATCCAAAACCCGTTCCCCGCCCCCCCCCCCCTTTTTCTTCGTTGCTAACTTGCTACAAGTTATTCCCATGGATATTCGCATCCGTAAACACATATTACATTTACAGGCTGGTATGGTTGTGTGTTCTTGTGCTTGTGCTTGTTAGTGTTTCTGGTAATGTCCGAATAAAGTCTACTGTGCGATACTTGGATCGATCCAAAAGGTTATTTACTTGTATTTCAAGTCCATCAGGTTCTCCTGTTTGCAAATTCGATCATGATGTGTATATGTGTGTGCGCCCGCGTGTATGAACATGCGAGCTCAGAAACATAGTACTAATATTCTGAATCGAAATCTGAGTTACAGAATATACACAACTTCCTGTTTTTGATGATGCTTGTTCTTTGACTCGTCGTCCAGCTAGTGTTTGAAGTGAAAGAAAGGCTTGCAAAAGATTATAGTAGTCTCCCTGTGGGCAGAAATGGAAGAGATGATGAGGAAATGATCCTCTGGTTTTTGAAGGATAGGAAGTTCTCCGTCGAGGAAGCCATTGGAAAGCTCTCTAAAGCTATTGTATCCTCCAATGCATATCTTCCTAATTCTATCACCATAACCTTTTTCCTGCTGGATACGACTCCGCCCGTGAGATCCTTACCAGAGTTTAGAGATGGCGCCAAGAGTTCAATGTATCTGAACTGTCTGAAGACTCTGTCAAGATCGCTGCAGAGACAGGGAAAGCTTATGTGCATGATTTTCTAGACGTGAAGGGTCGACCAGTACTTGCTGTAGTTGCCTCCAAGCACACACCAGGGGCAAGTTGATGTTCCTTTACTTAATACTTGTGATGGGTGATCACTTCTTCGGTTATATGATGATTGAGCTTTTGGAAATTTGGTATTACAGTTGCTGGATCGTATTGAGGACGAAAAGCTATGTGTATTCTTACTTGAAAAGGCTTTAAGTAAGCTACCAGAAGGGCAACACAAAATACTTGGTCTCCTCGATCTTCGTGGATATCGTACCGAGAATGCTGATCTTAAATTCTTGACTTTTCTGGTATTGGTATTTCCTATGGGCAAATGATTTTGTAATTCTGTGTTGAAAGACCCCTTTGAGTTATATCCTAATGTTTCCTCACATCCTTTTTTTGCAGTTTGATGTGTTTTACTGTTACTATCCAAGCCGGTTGGATGAAGTTCTTTTCGTGGATGCCCCATTTGTTTTCAAGCCAATTTGGCAGTTCATCAAGCCATTGGTGAAAAAATACGCTTCTCTCGTAAGTCTCTGTCATAGTTGGCTTTCGATTCTATTCTACATTCTGTGTTTAGTTCAACGCTTTCTTCTCGTTCATTTTCTTGTGACAGTAATCGGTTTCCATTTAAAATGGTAAGCCGAAAAGGGTTCTTTGATTTGGTTTCGTTGCATGGAATGTTAATTACCTTATGCTCGACCATTTCCAACACCTACTAGTTGTGGCATGGAATGATAAAACACTGACTGCTTTGATTTCTTTTTTGAAGGTGAAGTTCTGCTCATCAGAGACAGTGAGAAAGGAGTACTTCACTGATGAAACGTTACCGACCAGTTTCAGAAACTGATGGGTATGTTCTTTTTTTTTTCTGTTCTGTTCGATTCTTGAAGGCATCTAATAATCAAAGCTCAAAAGGATGTTCAGATACTGAACTGTTTTCCCCCTTTCAGGAATCGGTATTTTTCCTGTTGTTGTATCTTTAACAAGTCTAAGAAGGTGGGTTTTGGATTATGGGCAAAGGCTAATCATGCCGAAAGTGAAACATCTAATTTTGTATATGTTGAGACAACGTTATGTATTACTCTCAAATTCATATTCTTTGTATTATTTTGATTTCTGTGTTTGCTTATAACTAAATGACCCGACTAGCATGAGTACCATGTGTTACCAACTTACCAAAAAAAGATTGCAATCATTAGGGCAAAACCCAACAAACCTAAACCATTTCATGATCTTTGCAAGCTTCTTCTTCCTCACCTGACCAACGGACCCCAAGAACTCGGAAAATCGGGATCCAAGCTCGGAGAATCAATCCGAGCATCAAATAAGCTTTGATCGTCGCATCTGGACTCCACAACAGGGACCAAACTATATTTGTATTCTGGGCACTTCCCATCTTCTGGATCTCTGTTTGAGTTTCTGACTTTGCCGTTTGAGAAAGTTGTTTCTTCAAAACTCCATCAATCTCTTCAGGGGGTGATTGAGTGCACAACGCGGCTAACCATTTTCTTGAAAAGCTTCTGAAAAGATGTGCTTTCCGCCTTTGGAGATACGTTATTTTCGTCATCATCATCATCCTCTTCATGGTAAGATAGTTATGCTGAGTTATTGGTAACTTTAGTTTCGCTCTCACTTCCTCCGGCGTCACTGTTGTGGATGCCGCCACCTTTGAAAGATGTAACTCCAAAGCGTTTTGCCTTCAGGCTACCATTACAAGGGACCCCTAAACTGCAGAGGAGTTGCAGCAGATTGTGAACAACCGCCAATGGAAAAGATCAATAAAGCTTTGCTCTCTTCCCAACCATTTGAGCCGTTGTTCTGATTGTTTTCGATAACTTTATGAAAATCCACCAGAATTGGATACGGTTTTACATAATTCACACAATTCGAAATTAATATACATATCAGAAAATTATACCTTAATCCATTTTGCAGTGGAATAACTTTGAAAAACAAAGTAAATCGTTTATTGTTTGTTTTCTCTCCTTTCACCCTAACCTTGATAGATTTTTTATGGATAAAAATATGAACCAAATGTCCATTATTTATAATGTAAGGAAAGGATAATAAACTTAAATACCCATAAACTTCAACACCATAATAAACTCATTTCCATCAAAGTAGTCAAGATCATATGTGTAAAATCCAAAATTCTATGGACCATTTTAATGTTTATATTTCCAACCGTTGTTTCTACTTGTATTATTGAATGAATATTAATACGGATACAAAAGATTACCCAAAAGTTTTTCTTTCAGGGTCCAAGTTTTTTTTTCCAAAGTTGTGTATAATTCAAAGGAACAATTTTTAAATAAATATCCAAACCATTTCTATCATAATATAACAAATGTGTCAAATGAGAGCAATTTACGAAACTATGACGGTCCTTTGCTGTTAGAAGAAAAAAACATTTGGCGTGACACGTCATTAAATTTTTTGCCACATTTCGTAATGTTAGTTGGGAATGTATGTATATACACTTTCCAAAAAAAACTGTGGTCGCGACTCGCGAGTAATGAAATGACCTTGTGTTTGTGTGCGCTCATTACGTAAGGGCTTCCTAGAAAATCCAAGAAAATTTCGTTAACGAACATAGGAAGCTCGAAGCCGAGAGAGACGAGGAGGAGGAGGAGGAGACACTCAGGCTTTTCTCGCGCATCGGCATCTCTGTTGCCAGTTGGGTTTTCGTCCTCTTTTTTCTAGGGCTCGTCCGTTTTCCATTTTGATCTTCTTCCGATTCTGATATTCCTCTCGCTCTGGGTCTTACCGCTGAATTCGGATTTGGTTTATTCTTACGTTTGGATAGATTGCCCTCTGATTCAAATGATCAATGGAGAGGACACTCACGACGAATCCGCCGGGGTTCCTTCCCTGGATCTGCTTGATCAATTCCCGCACAAGGACGGTTCCGACGATGCTTCCCCGGCTTCATCTGCACGTTTCTCGTCCTGTGGCGAATCCGAATTTGAGCGCTACTGCAGTGCGAATTCGTTGATGGGAACTCCGAGTATGTGTAGCTCGACGGGTCCGTTTCTCGATTCTCTAGAATCCGAATTCGGGTCTTTCAAGGCCGGTTTTGCATCTGGGGATGCTACGGAGTTCGAAAATTTTAGTTTGGGACCAAGCTCAAAGCTCTATGATTTGGAGATAGGACGATCAAGTGATCGAAGGACCAGGTTCTCCGTTGAGGATACTGTAAAGGGCTGTGATAATCAGATAATCGGTATACCGAGTGGAACAAGAACTGGGAATGAAGAAACCATCATCAAGCGAGAAGATGTAAATGATAAAGGTACGCTTGAAAGAGATTCCGTGGATCATTTTGTGGGCGAGGGATCTGAGGAGTGTTTATGCGGATCAGATTCACGAGTAGGTGGACAGGATGGAGGAAGAGAAGACGAGCATTCTGGTAGTGACGATGATTCGATTTGTGATTCAGATGGTGGTTCTGGGAAAATTTCTTATCCTCCATGGAATTTACAGCATAAACAGACGCAGAAAGCTGAGGATAATAATTTGTTCCTCATCAATTCATCCACTGCCTTTGGTACAAATGACTGGGATGACTTTGAGCTTGAAGCCATGGAAGCTGCTGAAGATCCCCTCGAATTCTGCAGCTTTCAGACTCTGGATAAGAAGAGTAATGAAAGTAAAGGACCATCATCAAAATCCTTTTCTGCCGCCTTACCAACTATCCCTGCTATAAGTCAACCGGGGAGAAGCCAAGATCAAGCAGACATACCTGTGAACACTGAATGTGCTCAAGATGCAGATGACATGAAAGGAAGTATTGAAGATACATTAGCGCCTACAGCAAGTGGATCACTAGTATCTACTGTTTTCAATCAAAGGGAGCAAAGTGGAGAGCCAAGAGACGGCTTAATATTGGCTCAGTCACTTACAACAGGTGGATCACTAGTAGACAGTTATAACGAAACTCGAGAAACCTCTGTTGTCATGAACTATCTTCGATCTAACGATGCTGATGATGTCCTAGTGATAATACCAAATGAGTTAGCAGACAAAGATTCTGTCATTCAGGAACCTTTTGGTACTCAAGATGTGGTGGCTTTTCCCGCTCACAATTCAGATGCTTCAGGTGTTCATTGGCACTTAGATCCTAATGTTTCTTCCGGACTTCTTCATCAGTCGCATGCTTATGGTAAAATGCCAAATTCATCTACATACGGAGATTACCCCTCAAAATCATCTTCGGCATCTGGGAACCACCTTAAGCCTTTATCCAATGATTCTCATCCTGTAGCAAATGCCTTTGAAGTTGCTCATCCGCAGCCCAAGGTCAGTCATCTAGGTGAACTAAAGAACTCTTTGTGTCGCTGTTTCTCTAGCTGCCAATTTTTGTTTACGCACGATCTTTTCTGGAAAGATGATTCCTTGATTTCTTTTTCCAGTTATCTGTTTGGCACTCAAGCTCTATTTCTGAAATCTGGATTCTGGATACTTTCACTTTTAGGCATCTCTATGTTGTTCTGAAATGGGTTCAATTAGGTCGTGGTCCTACTTTGACAAAACGATGGACATTTTGACTAAGCAGTAGCTGCCCTGTTGCATTCTGCCCCCATATATGTAAATTATTTGGACTGAGGGTTCTATTTTGTATAATCTGTAGACGTCATGGATGCTACTTGCTCTCCCACTTTATTTAGTTTTTGGTTCATGCACATTTAGATGAAGCTTTTCTGTTTCTCATTTGATATTGTTCCTCATTTTTCAGAAGGAGAACACAGAGCTTAATGACTTCTATGATGATTTTGTTCATGATATGGAAGAAATACTGCTCGACTCTGGTGAATCTTCTGGAGCAATGTTCTCTAAGAGTGACAAGATGTTCCAATTACAGCTTTCTCTACCTGAGAGAGATGGGGGACAAACTGCTACCACGTCTGGTGGAGATGATTCATCTCCAATAATTTTCCAGCGACTTAGGATTAATGGTGTTGAAGTCATTGGGGCAAAGCAGAAAAAGGGAGATGTTTCACTCAGTGAGAGATTGGTTGGAGTGAGGGAGTACACAGTGTACATAATAAGAGTTTGGAGTGGGAAGGATAAGTGGGAAGTTGAAAGAAGATACCGTGATTTCTATACCCTCTACCGCCGGTTGGCATCATTATTCGCTGATCAAGGCTGGACTCTTCCTCCCCCTTGGGCTTCTGTGGAAAGAGAATCCAGGAAAATATTCGGAACATCTCCCCATGTTATTGCTGAAAGGAGTGTCCTTATTCAAGATTGTTTAAATTCAGCTCTCCAGTACAGACGTTTTCCCACTCCCCCGAATGTATTGCTTCGTTTTTTGTCCCTTCAAGACACGTTTGCTAGTCCGTCTGGACCAGATTCTGTGGTGTCTCCATCAGGCTCTGCTGGTATCAACGGCTTTGCAGGGACCAGTTCAACATTTGGAAATACTATCTCACTCATGGTTGAAATTCGGTCTCAGAAATCAGTAAAGCAGTTGTTGGAATCTCAGCATCACATTTGTGCTGGATGCCACAGATACTTCGATGATGGAGCCACTCTTGTGCGGGACTTTGTGAAGGCTCTTGGATGGGGTAAGCCTCGGCTTTGCGAATATACTGGTCAGTTGTTTTGCTCTTCCTGCCATACCAATGAGACAGCCGTCCTGCCAGCAAAAGTGTTACATCATTGGGATTTTGGTCTATATCCGGTTTCTCAGTTGGCTAAATCATATCTAGACTCCATACATGAGCAGGTAAAAATTTTAGATTTAGCGAGCTTTGGTGTGATTTAGTGTCGTTACCCAGATGTTAGCTAGAGTAGAAGCGTTTATTCTATCTGTTAGCTGCTGAGAAATAAAGTGATTTTCCCACTGCACCTTCTGAATGCTGCAGGGCTTTAATCACATCTTGTACCCTCTTAAATGTTACTTCTTGTCGAAGCTTATGCTAGATCTGTTGACGAATCGTTTCTTTTGTTTTCCTGCAGCCCATGCTCTGTGTCAGCGCAGTCAATCCGTTTCTGTTCTCAAAGGTCCCAGCACTCAATCAAGTTATGACTATCCGGAAAAGAATAACGGTTATGCTTCCATATGTTCGATGCCCGTTCCGCAAGACACTCAATAGAGGGCTCGGTTCTCGGAGATATCTGCTTGAGAGCACCGATTTTTTTGCACTAAAAGATCTAATCGATCTTTCCAAAGGGGCATTTGCAGGTAGATTTCATTTTTTTCTCAAACAAAGCTGTAAAAACGCGTCTGTCACATATGCATGCTTGCACATTCGAACATATCTTGTTTTCTGGCGAATGTTTGTCCTTTGATGATGCTACTTGTTCGAGATTTAAATGAATTTGTTTTCAATTGGCAGCTCTTCCCATGATGGTGGAAATCGTTTCGAGGAAAATCCGGGAGCATATTACAGAACAGTGCCTTGTTTGTTGCGATGTAGGGGTTCCCTGCAACGCTCGACGAGCTTGTGATGACACTTCTTCTCTGATATTTCCATTTCAGGTTAGTCCAGCTTCCGAATCTTCTCTTTGCCATTCCTTTGGTTATCTCAGAAGAATTTACTTTTACGGTTTTCGTATGCACATTGTCCTCGTTAGTAGTATTTGTCATCCAGATCACTGATTGTAGCAGACCCTAAATCTGTATGAAAAGAACAGCAGGACGAAGAGGTTAAGAAATGCCCTTTGTGTGGCTCGGTTTTCCACGAGAAGTGCTTCACGAGGCTCTCGACCTGCCATTGCGGAGCTCCATTGGCGAGTAGCCATAGCTCGGAGGAGAAGAGCTCGGATTCGGATTCTGCTTCTCTTCTTCCCATGCGATACCTCTCAGGCTTGTTTTCAAAGACGAAGAAAGATAAGGAAACCGTCATTCGAATGGCCTCTTTGCCGAGCAATGATCTCTAGTAGACAATTCATTTGTTTTGTATGGCAATAAATGATTTTCCTTTTGTGCTTTCTGATATCTGTAACCATTTACCCAATTGGTAAAAGTTTTCTGTGTGTAATTCATGTATGCAATGCAACTTTGAATACAAATGTAATTTTGATTTTGACCGCCAATATATTTATCCTTTCTATTTTTTTACATTAATTTTGAAATTATTTATAAAAGTTTATAGCTTTTCGAAGCTGGTGAGTGGAGCCTGGAGGGACATTATTTTTTTTTTTAACCTACCAGAAAAAGAAAAAAGAAAAAGGAGGATCAGCTTTGCAAAAGCAAAAGTCGCGTCCATTCCGTGGAACTGTGAACTCATCGCCTCTCTCTTTAAAACGAATCTGAATGAGCTAACTTTGAGTTAATTGCATCTTTCACCCCCACGTATTATAAATTTGCAAAACATCCTCATACTTTAATTCCATGAAAAGAGATCCCTGTTGCTTGCATTTCCACTCCGGAACCGTGATCACTGATCTTAGCATCCTCCTCGGCCTTGGGATTAATAATCCCAAAGTAATACTTTCCATATTCGATATCCCTCGTCGGTGCAATTCAATGTAGAAATCGAAGATCTGGTCTACAAAATGAAAATGTTCATCATCATTCTTTTCATGTTCTTATTTTCCTTGTTAAATAGAAACGGCTACTGGTGAATGAATGAATGATATCTTTCTTAAACCAGTCCACACGTATATATATGTATAAATAGTTTTATATTTTCAGCAAAGCTTGTATAGTTACAAGTTACAACTATTATATCTCATATATATATATATATATATATATATGAGATTCTTGCTTCACAGTTCTGTTGATATGTACTTCCAAAAACGTTATCTGTGATAAATCTTCCAAAGAAGGGGGTTTGCTTGTAACCCAAGTCACCTCGGAATCTGGTAAGACTCGGAGAACCATCTCTGAAGAAGCCGGTGTTTCAGCTTCACCAACAAGGCAAATGCTCCGTAGCATGGGAAATGCATCACTGCAACTGATAAGTACCTAAACCCACATCACGTTTTACCATCACCACCTTAAAAATCCAAACTTTTCACCCGGTTTAACTACAAATATTATCGAAATTTGTTTTCAGAATCGATGTTTTACTTCTCGGATTTCATATACCATCCGTCTGCCCTTCCCGGGTAAGCAATGTAGACTTACCAGAGCGGAGAATAGTGAGATGCTAAATCCAGGAAGGGGTAAGGCCACCTATCAGAAACAACAGATATTGACATATAAGCAAAAAAAAAACCTTCTCTATCAATGGATGAAATCACTGCAAAATTTGATCCTGAAAAGGTTACCAGATATGGACTAAGGAGTGAAGAATCCATTGGAACATGACATAAGCTACTGTCCAGAGGAAGAAGTAAGCAATCCTGAAACAAGGAAACCTCTGCAATGGCGTCACAAAGAAAAACGTCAATCATTTGAATCGATGATATATGTCGAGAGAGTTAAGCGATCCCCGATGAAAATGTTTTGGTTTCAAGCACCAGAGAATTCAATGCCGTGTCACCTAGCAAGAATATGGCGTTGAGAGAGTGCATACTGATCACCAGCTTCATCAGAAACAAAGCCAAGATCAGATGGTGATTGAGCGAAAAACATAACGGTGGAACTAAACAGGTGTTTTCTTGTTCATAGTCACTTACAACATTGAGGCTGTAATCATGGATCTCGAGAAAGGGAACGATGATGAACCAGAAGACGCAGTCAGTGAGGAGAACTGCACCTGCATTCATCTGTTGAAACCCAAGAATATTATCTATACCCGGCTACTCATTTTCTACATTCGAATCACCATGAATCACGATAAATTCGCTGTGATTATGTATATGTATACACTGATATTGGGGCGATTTATTAACATTACCTGGAAAACTATCTGGAAGATGTAACCCCACAGGCCTGCAGGTTTCCTGTCATGAATCTCCTGAAGGGTATCGGGTTTCTTGGATCTTATTCCATGCTCAGAATCTATCTCCACATTACCGACTCGTTCACCAGCTGCTCTTTTGTTGTACTGGTAACAACCGTGAAGCGAGAGAAGCGACCCAAGCTGCAGAAACCATTTAGGGCAAATCAGAAATGGTGCAAACTATAATTACTTTATACTCCTTGGAAGATGTTGAAACATTGTAACATACCCCGAAGTAGAGAGTAATCAAAGTAAATGTCCACCTGCAGGGAACAGAGAAAGAAGCCAGTACCCATCAGAATCACCGTTACATTGAATGTGTTTCTTGGTAGGCAAGTAAACCCTTTTTTCAGAAATTGTTTTCCTCTCTAGATTCTGAACCAAACTCTCTTCGGAAACTGCAGAGACTTCGATTTACCCATCAATGGTTTTCTCCCGAATGGTTCAAAGAGAAATTCATTTCGCCATAACGCGCACACGAAAACACTTTGAAAACGGAGTTTCTGGCTAAGACACTTTGAAAACGGAGATCACTTACTGGGTATAGTAGTAGAAGATGGTGGGACCATCGACGAGGCCAATGACGATCAACATCACAAGAAGAACAAAGAAGGCGACGAAGCGGTAAGCGAGAAGCCAGGCAGGGTGAATCCCACGGAGGCATGGCTTCCAAGTCTCGTCTTCGTAGACATTGCCTCCCCATTCCTTCTCTCCTCCATGGCCGCGTTTCTTGCGAAAACCTTCGTATTTGAATATCAGAAACGCCGTCGAAATCATAGCTATGACCATCCATATGAAGCATATCAAGACCCTCCAGTTGAACCAGTAGCTTGAACTCGTCGTGTCGGCCGTCACAGCAGGGTGCCATGAATCTTTCGATTCTGTATATGATGACGAAGAACTCATTGTTTCAACAAAAAGCGCTCGAAGGAAAACCTTCTCTTGGAGATAAACAAATCTTGGTTTCAAAAAAAAAATATGGGAGCTTTCAGACAAGAGTTTCAGTGGAAAAGTAGATTCAGGGTTTTGTAATGGGGGAGAGGATCGATGAACTTGTTACAGATATTGCGGAAAAAAACAAATTAATTAAATAAATTGAAGCCCATAATGAACAAGAAGATACATTTACGAAAGGGGAAACAAAGACAGATTCATGTGTGTGTTTCTGTTGAAACATACATACATATATCCAGAAACAAGAATGGAAGATGGAGTTTGGAGATGACAAAACTTCGATTTTTTGAAATCCGAGTCATCTGATTTTAAGACATGACGAAGCAAAGGGAGAGAGATTCCAAACTTTAGTCATGTTCTTGCTCATAAAGATAAAATGCCCACAAGATGATTTGATCATAATATATAATAAAATATTGAATACAAAAAAGATTTAAAAAAAAAAAAAGGAAAAGAGAGCGAGGGGTGCTGAATTACAAGCCAAGAAAAGGAATAACACTCGCAAGGAAATGCAAAAGCCAATGGGGAGATGTGTTTAGAGGATGAGATGCTTTCCTTCTTTGCTTTTAAGAGGACAAGCACGAGAGAGAGAGAGAGAGAGAGAGAGAGAGAGAGAGAGAGAGAGAGCAAATCTTGCAAGAATATCATATAATAATCAGATGCCTTATGTAACCGAGTTTTGTTCTATGGAAAGAATAGACAACACATACATATATATATATATATATACGTATAGGTTAAAAGATGAGATTATTCTTAGATTATCCAAAAAAGAAAAACAATCAGACCAAACAAGCATTGGGGCTTTCAGAGATTTGTGTCGTACAAAGTAAACATATTTAATTTGATACATATATCTTAAAATGCATCGATGCCATCCGAATATATCAAAAATCGATAGAAAATTTGTGGACAGAGAATCTAATTAAATAAAACGAGGCAATCTCTCAATGTAAGGTCTCAATCTATGCGCACATATCCAAGCCGAGAGAGTATCAAAATTCTCAAAAACGCATAGGGACGTATGCATGTATTTCTTTTATATATATACACACACACACACAAACACTTACACGTGTGTGTATATATATACACACTTACACATGTGTGTGTGTATTTATTCATGTACATACATTGGCATTCCT